CTTTAAGAACCGAGGTTGCGCGAGTCTTAACGAAACTTCGAGTCTTTATTCTCAGTTCCCACTCATCCTTTTCAGTCTGGCACACTTGAGGCTCGGAATGGGGTTTCCGACTAAAGACACGTGCGTGATCAATGCCTCCTCCGGATGCCTTTACAATGGTGTACGATGGCCCGTCTCAATGAGAGCAACTCTGCGGGTACTGTCTAGTGTTACCTACTCACGAAAACGTACGTCTCAAAACACGAGACAAAATTGAGATGACGGTTTTCGAAATACACGTAACGGAACAATGGACAATAATCTAACTTATAATACATAGTAATATTACTTTTACTTAATGACCAAATCGCCACAAATAATTAGTACAGGTCAAACACCTTTGAATATGATTATCTATACTAATATTATAAAGCTGAAGAGTTTCTTTGAGCGCGCTAATCTCAGGAACATAATGGTTCGAATAAAAGAATATTTTTGTGATGGTTGGAGTATTTATCGATGAAGGCTTTACAGTTGTAAAGCTGCAACTAATAGGAACAAAGAAACAGTGGGAAATGTGGAAAAAACGGGATACATTTTTCTTCCTTTAGGATTTCCGTTGCGTGCGCTGCGTATACCAAAAAAAAATATGTATGTATGGAAACTGTATTCCTCTTTAAGTAATGTAAAAAAATATTTGCGACACTATATGTCAAATTTCGGTCAAAATACTTCATATGGCAAAATAGCGTTTGTCAGTTAGTGTTAGCAAATTAAAACAAAATCAACAACCAAATCAGTTATATTATTATAGGCAAGTAAAATATTATAAAAGACTAGTGACCATCCCCGGCTTGACTCGGGTGCAATACTGATACTAAATACACTACAGAAAAACTTTGAACGATATAAAAAACCTTCCTGTTGACTCACACTATCCATTAAAAAAAAGCGCAACAAAATCCGTCGCGTAGTTTTAAAGATTTAAGAGTAGATATGAACTTTCTTTTATACTATGTAGTGATGTAAATATTCCAATACCTTCAAGAGAAGGTATTCGAATTTTAAAACTTCAATCTGCAAGTATTTAATCGCGACACAGAATTGGTTAGTCGGGTACATTGTGTGAATATTTATGATGCCTGGTATAGGTAGTAAGTATCGATGTTGTACCTGGTTATTGGACACCTAACGCATACAATGAGGCTATATGAGACGAGTTAATTAAGTGGCGTGCGTGCATTGCATTCGTTTCCGGCGCCGTTGATGTCTTTTGAACGAACGCGAGTCGATGTGTTTGCGCTTATAACCTATTTGATACTTGCAGGTCTCCATTCGATCAAATTTATAACTAATGTTAAATTCGCTACTTTAATTATTAAATCACTCGTTGTACATGATAACATAAAATACTTTAACGGTTTAAAACGCGAAGTATATTAGTTAAACATATTTAAAAAATGCTTTAAGTGCGGCTCGTAAAAGTTTACCTAATATATTTCGCGTTTTAAACAGTTAAAATGTTTGAACAGACAGTACCTATATAAAAATATACATTAATATCTACTTCATTATTATGTAATAAGATACTCAATATTATTATATTTAAACCTTGCTAGTAGCGAAATTTCAATTATGAATATTACCTAAACTAATTAAATGCCAGAGTATGACTCCATTCCATTCAAATCAACTTATAGTCTTGATTTATTTCGGCAACGCAGAGCAATGAATGACCAAATAAAAAAAAGAGTAATTTGGCTGTATCTTTCACGCCAGCGCATTTAAATTATTCTCATTGTTCGACCTTAGGAAATGTAAATAAATAGAATGTTAAATTAAACAAGCGAGATTGTTACACCTACTATACAAAAAACGTTAGGAGATAGCAGAGGCGTGTGCCCACATAGGGCTCGTACTTTGAAGGTTGTGGAAGGTCGTTTGGTCATAGTTATGTATAAAGGCTTGTGCACACTGTTTGTCTACATTATTTCAAAGTATGTATTAATAACTGATTTTTCTACATAGTATCTTTATTTTTCATAAAACCATCCACGTCCGGTTTTTAAATTGTTAAATGTTATTAAAACTTTCTTACTGAGTGACTTAGTAATAAATAAAAAACCGATTCATTTATTATCTTATATCTATATTATTATATAATAAGTTAAATACTGTCGGTAGTTTACGCGGGTAGTAAAACGCATAATAGTTAAACTCATTTGAAAATTATTTTAACTAAGGCCTATCGTTTCAAGTGTAGGTACGCCGTCTTCGAAGTAAAATTATTTTAAAATTTTTAAATAAAATTTTGCGTTTTAAACCTTTAACAGGTTTTATTTAAATGTGTAATAAGTTACTGTAGCAAAGACGGTTCCATTTTTTTTGTATTATAATAATGCACATAATAAAAAGTATGGGCTTATCTGTCTTGATACAATTAGTGCTCAATTCCACTTTTGACTTTAGATGTCAGTCAGCCGTCCGTTTGAACGATCTGCAGTAGGTGCGTCGCACCTGTTCACACCGGATGCCCCCCGCGACCCTCTCGATACTTAAGAAAAACACCTCCAATCCACCGCGCGCTAAAAAGAAAACCTATTCCATTCTATATAAGTGCATTTTCACCTGCACGAAATTCGACGAAGGCAACTCTTTGACCATCTGGATTCGTCCTTTTGAGATTACGCCGATTCCAAATGATGCCTTAGCGCATACCAGATACAGATCAATTTAGCACGACAAGATTTATCAAAGGACGAAATTGGTGCTTTTAAACTGTCGCTAGCGGCCAACGGTCAAGTCACGGAGTTCAAATAAAAAATAAAAAATCTAAAGCTTACACACCGTAACGAGTGTAAAAAATTAAATTAGTCATGCGATAAATTTTGTGTTATAACGATAGTTCGACAATGTGAAGGACTATTGAGTCATATTAAATAACTAGTTGACCTGGCACACCGACTTTTGCCGTATAAAGTATTTGGACCAAATTTGATTACTTAAAAATCAATAATTCTTTCATATATTTTTTGTTGTATATCTTAAACCGTTTTTTTCACATTTCCTACTGTTTCTTCGCTTCTATTTTTATATTTTATTATTTTTCAATATTTGATTTTTCTGTTGGTTAGACCATTGTTGGGCGCAGCATAATCTTTTATAGCAAAACAATCCATTTTTGATAAATGTCTAACCAACACAAAAATATTTTTCAATTCGATCCAGTAGTTCCTGAAGTGAGCGAGCCAAGCAAACAAACTCTTCAGCTTTATATTATTTATTAGTATAAATAATGAAGAATAAATTTAAATAAAGGTCACTAGAATTATGATTATCATTTTGACCGATCATTTGTAGAATTGGTAGTAAATGATACGACAATATATAGAACAAACATTTATTTCGATTCAAATATGGATGCATCAAAATCGAAACTTAAACAAAAATAAAATCTTTCGCCTAAATATTTAATATTCATTGTCGTCTAAAAGGCAATTTTCTTATAAACCGAATTAGCATTCAAGGCATTCGTGCATGCTCCGTTACATAAAATTATGTTCAGCCACTTTATAAGTACATACATGACCATTTGTCGTTTATAATTGATTTTGTTTATATTACGTCCTCTGTTATGTCTTGTGCACTATAAAATGAATAGAGTGTAGTAAGATAAGCAACATTATTTAACTACTTAAATAAAATATGTAACATAACAAGTTAAATAAGAGATAAGAGCAATAAATTTTAAATGAAATAAAAAAAAGATTAAAAGGTATTCCTATTATAAACACAAATACAAATTGCTTTATTCTCTAAAAAATATGATTTACATTAAATATAGGATTTAGGCATTTAAATAATAAAGCGGTAAAAATGATTAAATAAATACCAATCTATCATTGAAAAATGTGTCATCATATATTAGACCAAGTATAGTGACATTGTTTTGCATTTTGATCCATTGAAGGGTAAATTAGCAGGTGGTAGCTCGCCGAGTCAACAACCCAACAAACCGTACATTGTGCATAGTCGACAAGGTTTTTTGTTTGAGATACAAAAGGGCTATATCCGGCTTTTGTAAGATCCGTCCAAGGCAGTTTCCGCGAAATACATCGCAACGCAGAAGAAACGGGAAGTATATCCGGAACAACAAAAAAATGTTTTCACGCCCCTAATTCGTATATAGGGCTGTCACGTCGGAGAATCGCTTTAAAAGATAATAGCTGACGATTTGCATAAATATGTGATTTTGGCACTGATAAAACGTTCTCGGGCGATTCATGAATATGTTAATTCGAGTCGATATCGTCGTAATTATTATTGTAAAAATTATTTATGGGGCCACGTTAAAATGCCTATACGGGATGACAAAACGACCGACGTGAAAAAGTTATAATAATGATCTATAATTATTATGAATGGCGTCCGCTCGAACTAGCCCTGGGTTGAGTTATGTTTGCGTTCAAAAAAATGTTCCCACAGTCGACAGGTTGCCGAATGCTATGTCTTCCGGACGGAAGTAAGCCCACGACCGATGGTCCTTTAGAGGAAAAAAAAACATGAATGGATTCAACAGCACATGTTCGTATCCAAAAGAATTACGATTAGCATCTTTTGGACGTCGTTAGGATCTCTTTCACCTAGTGTTTCATCAAAAAACGGCAGGTGTGAGCAGCTAGCACATTTTCGAAACTCCCACGCCGAAGAAAGATGTAGCCATGTTTAAAATTCACCCCGTGCAAAATTTTACTGCTGCACGGATTTACAAATGCCTCAATGCAAAGCTGATTGATGCGCGTTGAATTCATAAAATGTATCAAATCGATTTTATATGCAGTGGATTATATTCATATTGGGAATTTCCACTCGCTAAAAGCTCTCAACTCCATTGGTAGACTTTCCAAAAATTATGAAATGTTTAACAAAATACATTATCTAAAAATATATATATTTTAAGGTGGCTATTGTTTCTGTATCTATCTATAGAGATGATACTAATTTAATAATATTAATTCCAGGTGTCCGAGGAGGATTTACCAGATTGCAGAGCGCGCCAAGTTTGCAGTAAAGTAGATCTCTACGATACAACCCAACCGTGGATCGAGCGGAAATGCCGTTGTTTGGGACACAGGCCTTGTTCTAGGTTAGTTTCTTTAATTTTACACAGCGATAAATAACAAATTATTAAATTGAAACGACTTTGGCAGTACAAATTAAAAATAATTTTTAATTAGGTTAAGTACGACCCATCATACACTTTGCTGTTATTTTTAATTTTGCAAAACAAAATCATATATGTAAATGTTCGTATTGGTAATACGAGTTTGAAAAAAAAACCTGAGTACATTATTTATTTCTAATATTGTAAATTCGTTTCGCATTGGTTTAATAAAACCATTTTTTACCAATTGTTTTTGGTGTATCCTCAAGTATCCTCAATTTTACGTCACGTCTCTTTTTATTTAAATTAAATAACACATTTAACATAAAAACCTTTAATAGAATTTCTTCAAAGATCATTGACTTTATCAAACATTTTAAACCTAGGCAGCAAACTAGAAAGCGGCCCATTGCGTTACGATTGTGGGCAACAATATAACGGTGTTAAAGTGGACATTTTACATTTCTAGCCATCACTTAAGACTAACTACTCCATTAACGTGAGCCGGCAAAACAATAAATATTTTAATGAGATAGAATTACCTTATTTTACATTTAAGCCGGCTTTGAAGATATTTTAAATGTTGCGATTAAATTTCGCCTGAGCTTCAAAAGCTTAAGTCTGTATTCCGACATTAGTGATAAAAACGGACTTGGCGGCTGACATAACTAATAAAAAAATCAATTAAAACAATCATATTATTGTGTTGATTAAATATTATTAATGTATTTAAAAATATGTTTTCTTTTTAATTATTTACGCTGTTGAAATATTTTTCTTAACTATTTCATGTTAATTTCAGCGAGTTATCATCGGACGACAATCACACACTCGCCGACAAAACAACGTTATACAAGACTTGCGAACCAGTAAGACGGTTACCGAAATGCCGTTACTTCAAGGACGCGGCGTGGACCATTTTCTCGCTGCCGGACAGCAACGCCACTCAACAGATTGTAAACTGCCATTGTCCAAAATCTTCAGTCACGTATTTACTCAAGAAGCTGCCGTACACGACACCTAGCGGTGAACAGGGGAACCAATATCAGTTTGCGTGCTCACCACAAAGTGTAAGTCGAGTTAGATAATTTTAGTTTTGTAAGTTACCGTTTGGTGGCGCTTATAATTCATCTTGTAAAGTATGACCTAACACATTATACTAAAATCAATATATAAAGAGTACATCTTTTTAGTTACGTATGCCAGATGAAATTGAAAAAGTAATTTTAATAGGAAATATAAGGAAAATGAACCAAGTAAAGCCAAATGCCCAACTGTAGAATTGAATTTAAAATGTTTAAGACAATAATAATGTTGCCAATTTAAAACCGCATATAATATATAGAACTAGTAATAATAATTCCCTTTTTCATTTCAGCGCTTGAGGTGTTCAAGGAAGGAGCCATGCAGGCTATTCAGTGCTCGACGTCGCCATGAACAAATAGACGAAGTGAACGCCAGTACTATATGCCAGTGCCCCCGGGACCATACTTGCCCTAAGCACCACACGGAACCCGGAGTCCTGCCTGGCGTCACTTACATAGCCGAAGACATCCGCACCTACCACGGCTACTGTATGCCGGAGCCACCCCCCGACAACTACAGATTCGTCGGAGATAAAGACTGAAACTAGTCGAATACTTATCTTCATGCTTCGCTCTACCTGTTCAGTACAAAATTTATCATAAGACACGCGCCATGCGCAGGATTTACTAATCCATTTTTAAACTGCGACTTGTTGAGCGTCATATACAGAATTTAGGCTATTCCATTTTTAAACAGCGACTTTTTAAGCATCGAATTCCATTTACAACTTAGCAATAGCAACTTAGCAATTCCATTTTTAAACTGCTGAGCATTTGAAGATTTAAGCCATTCCATATTTAACTGCGACTCGATTTACCAATTAGAAGTTACTATATTCAAAATAATGACTGCCCGTTTGGAACAACTTCATAGACATATGATGACCTCAGTGTAAATATAAGTAAGTCGATATCGGTATTAATCGCGTAGGTATTGTTTCTGTTATGTTTTGTAAATAATAATTTTAAGCGTCAATCATTCCAAACGTTTAGTTTAAATTATTTTCATATTTTTTATACTTGCCATACTTTATCTACGTGAATGTTGCGAATATTTTGCCATTTCATGCGAACGAGAAATTCGGATAAAATTTGTATAGTATGTTACACACTTCATCGTGCAAAATACATTTATTAAACGGCGTCTTATAGAAAAATTGGAAATAAAATAACTATAGTCGAAGTCACTACCAATATTGTCTAAAGGTTTTTATGAAATTCGTTTGATACAGAACTGTAAAATTGGATTTTGGAGATATATTACGTTTCCAATATATTTAAAATTGTAAAGTTTGCATAAAATGAATGGAGAACGTAAAACGGTAAATGATATTGTAATTATACTTTTAAGACTGTTGCCTTGTTTCCATGTCTTCCATTAAAGACATTTATGTTTATTTGTTTACGATATATTATTGTTTTGCAAGTTATATCGTGGTTATCGTTTTATATAGGTCGGTGACATGTAGGTACCACTTGTTTTCACGATTTTGTCTATACATCGATCGTATGTATTTATGTAAATATGAGAAAATGTTAATATTTGTATAATACCCGGGCGCGTGAGGTATGTCTTCCTTGTTTTATGTGTAGGTTTTAAGTTAAATTATTGACACAAAAACGATTAAATGTTTCAATATATTTACTTTGCTTATTTAATATTTCTTAACTTATACAACTCCTGTAGGTAGACCATAAGATAAGAAGCAGGCTAGAAATAGTGATATTTAGTATCTAATAGATCGAAAAATATACCCGGACAATACTAAATCTATACTATATATAAAACATACATATAGCCCATTGAAGAAATTCATTCTGGATTTTAAAAATAAAATAAAAAGAAAAGATGCTTTAAATAGCCTAATATAGTAATTTACACTATATTACTAAGTATACAGTTAGCCATTATCAATGTTTTACCCAAGAGGTCGCCACTAAAACTCGACTTCAAGCGGTATAAATCTTTGCAAAGCCTGAGCTTGTTCAAAACGCTTGCTTCCTGCTCTCAAATTACCCGTCGCTTCCCATAGGAAATGTAACTGAACAAGATTTATAATTCTCACTAAATAACATTAATTACAAACACTTTCTTGTTTTTGGATTCAATAATTCATTTGTAAGTAGTTCATAATTTTTTATAACTACGGTAGAGCCCGTTTAAGACGTTCATGCTTAATACGATATCTCGTGTAATACGCCGCTTTTTACCAAGTTTCTGCATTAAGGTACATTTTTTAATAATTTAACTGAATACGTTTGGCCATCTCGTTTCATTCGCTCGAAACGAACCGAGAAAAAAATCGGTATTGACAGTTTTAGATAAATCACAAGCAAAAAATTAACTCAGGTTATTGCTGAGCTACACTCATCAGTTATTTAAAAGAATATAGAAGAAATTTAACGAAAATTGAGCCAACAAACATTGAGAAGTGTGCAGAGAAAATAAGATACATTCAAAAAATTGGCAAAACCCTTGCTGGAATGACACATCAGGTCATCAGATTTTTTAAGTTCATAACTTCTTCAATATGTGAAATTTATAAATGTTTTAACAATTTAGTTACTATACTAAATGCTATAAATTGTTAGTTTGCTCTTCCGACTGCCCAAAGTAGAAATAGGTTGACTGAACAACTTTATTGGATGTTATAAGAAACCCATGGATGGATGTACTGTTCTCTCTATCCTACAGATATAGAAGGTATCTTATATATTTAAGCTGACCTAATATTGGCTTAATATGTTAGTGAGTTTTAGGTCCTCAGGAGCGTGGATACTTTAGCAGATCGAGATACTATATTACTGAGGGATATTTGTAAAAGAAGATACCGACATACGTTTTTGCGACCCCCACAATTCAGATAGCCAATTACAATTACAGCGATATTCCGCGGCGCATGGGCATATCCTGCTGTATGTGTGCACATTACCCCCCGTGGCCAATCCTTGATTGCCACCTAATAACAAGAGATGGACGAAAAAACTATTCGCTTTCCGTTATTACAGACTGTAATAGTGTGATTTGTAATCGCCTGTACTTTATAAAAACCTTTTTACACGATTGTACTATTATGTCTTGGTTGTGGTGTACGGGATTACATGAATGCACTTAAACAGATGAATATATCATTTCTTTAGAGTGAGATGGCTTCTTTTTGCGAGTAAATAAGAGTTCTAGATGATCAGAGTTCTAAATAAAACTTAGAAATGCACTAGTCGTCCCTACGATTTTAAAAGGTACGTCGTTTGGCCTGGTCCTATGATTATAAGAATCGGTTCATAAACTACGAAGTTATACTCAAACAGACACAAAAAAAACAAATCAAACTAAGAACTTCTTTTTTTAAAGTTCGTCAAAAAAACACGTGGTTGATGGATAAATTTGTCTATAAAGCCACGGCCCCGGCTATTGACCATGTGTCAATAAATTGTTTTTGTGAAAAGAAAATTTTGCATTTCCATAACGATTGAGTAAATATAATGTAAAATACAAATGATGTTGCCATTAAAGAACCAGTAAATGCTTCGAAATCTAGGTTTCGAGCGACGCCGCGCACAGAACAATCGGTACAGTTAGGATACCACGACTTTACTGAATTAAACTGTAATCTCACTAACATCATTTCAATAATTCGTGATTCTTCGCATCAATGTGACATCGAAGGAGGCCACTTATACAGAGAAACTTACCGACATAGTAATAAGGGTTATTTTATTTTAACATAATGCTTACACTGCTAGTGTATTTTCGGATAAAATTCCTTTAAATTGTTAAAGAGGTAGTTTACAAAAAAACGTTACGTTTGTGGAAACACTTTTTATGCCAAGTTGTCACAGCAAAGCTTACTTCATAGTGTAGCAATGGAATATTACTACTTAACTAAATTGAAGCTATATCATTCTGGTAATGTATTCTGAGTGGCAAAAAATTTCCGTCTACCAGTTCCAACATTTCCGTTTTGCGATATAGTAGTGTAGTAGTCACGATATCCGGGTGTGGCGAAATTATCAATGTTACTATTTAGACAAACGAAATGTGCGCATAAGCGGTTTATTTTATCGACGTTAATAATCTATGCTCTATGATTAAAGGCAACGTAAGGCAGATATGACTAATCAAAGACACAGCGCAAGATGGAATCTTGAGTGATTGCTCTTCCTGCGTTTGACTGTCACTGTGGGATCTCCAATCATAGATAGAGACGTTTCTAAAGCGTTTGATAGAATTTCCCTGAAACGGATACGATGGCGATTGTAAGTAATCTCCTTGCGGTGAGAACAGTATGAGTGGAGCGGATTGCGGTTCAAAACTAGGATTCATTAGTGGAGCTTAATATATTTCACCTAATTTCACAAACATAAATGAGATAGAACTTTTGGTAGCTTTCATTAGCTCCACATTGTAATTCTGTATTAGACTTGCAGGTGAGTTAATTTATAAAATTGTGATTTAAAACAACATGGATGCTGCTAGAAATTATTGACGCAAAAAAAGGGTGACAGTTGATTACTAAATATGTGTATATATAGTAACTTGAAAAACGTTTAAGACAACTTCAATAAATAATAGGGGAAGTATAAGTTTTATCTATTACTAGAGTAGTTGGTATTGTAATATGTACTATTTTACTGAAATAAATTTGTATCCTATGCGATTCCCTAAGAACAAATAAAAACGAAATCTCTCAATCAAATAAACATAAAGTTGAATAGCATAATTACGAGAAAAAACATCGCATTAAATGTCAGGATGTAAGGAGATTGTTGGATCAGGGCCTATTCAATGATGCTATGATTGAATCCCTAATGGAAGACCTCGGACCACCCGAGAATCAATTTTCCCGTAGAAGAAATAGCGTGGTCTAACACTATTGACTTGAAATTTGCTTTTTAGTAGCGTCGGGCAAACTAAGGAGTTAATAGGATTACGAGGAAATTGTCGTTAATTTAATTGGCTTCATCTAGTCATGTAAAAGTGTTTAATTCAAAATTAGTAGGGGCCAAAAGCCGCTGCCGTTTATTTATTTCGATGCGATTTCGATTTTTTATTAGGACTTTAAAATTTTATGAAATAAATGAAGATTAGTAGCTTTTGAAAGATGGCCCGGTGAACTCTGCGTATAAGTTCCATTGTAATAACAGATATGAAATTATCTTTAACGATTTCAAAATTGTTAGCATTTCCAATACTTTGTACTGTAGTCTTTTGTAGAAGTCATCAGATGGTTTGATGGGCAATCACAGATAATAGCAGGGAACTGTCGGGTCAGGGGACTTATTACGAGGACAGAGGAATGAAACGATGAGTAAAAGTGTTTGAAGCATTCGCACGATTATCAACCCCGTACCCGCGAGCCTATTATTAAGTTCAGTTATTTCTTCTTTAAGTATGAGAAACGGACACGCTTCGTAAATAAATGCATTTAATCTATTGCTTGAGCTTTTTACACTTTTAATGTCTAATGCTTCGCATAATCGTTTTTGACTTTCGCTGACATTGTTTGGTTCTAATGTGGTAATGTTGTGTAGTCTATAGTAAGTACCTAAAATTACTTACTTATTTAAAGTGTTTTTGATTAAAAAAAAAATCTATTTAATAGAGGACTTATCATTATTATTAGAATCAACGTTTCTATGTTATTTGCACATGCTTGAATTGTGTATTTTTATTTTTAAATGTTATGAAATACACATACAATAGTAATTATCTTCTTATACATAAAATATTTCTTTGGTTTACATATTATATGTATAAGATCGCTTGTTAGCGAAAAGGCCGCCCATTGCCACTCCGTTCTAGTATATACGTTTCGTATTCTGTATCATTATTATTTTTTGTGCAATAAAGAATAAATAAATATGCACTGCTTCTGAAATCCTAACAAACTAGATATGTGAAAAAATTTGACCAAACTCTTGGAACAAAACAGAAACGTAATAATAAAAATTGCCTAGCCCATATAACGAAAGTTGAACATATTTACCCACTGACATAAAATTCTAAGCCATTGAGAAGCGATAATTGAACGAGCCGAGTAAAATTCACGTAATGGCCAAAGAGTGGACCTACATTTCGATCCGATTGTTTCAAAATCATTACTAACCCTAACTAGAACCTCTCACACCATTGTGCTCTGGTCTTTTTGAGTGTCACGAAGCAGCTTTTCCTTTTAGCGATTATTATTCAATTACTTTAGAGAAAACGTGATGATAATACGGTATATAGAAAACTTAATAGTCTCCTTTTACGACGCTCGGTCGATAGCAATTGTGCAACACCGCCGCCTAATATTCTCATTAAAGGTGAATTAGCAAACATAGTTCGTTTGAAGAACACAATGAAAAGTCGATAACAATTGTACGGAGTAGTTAAGCTTTTTTAATTTTTACCAGTAAATTTTGTCTAAAATGGAAATTGTCTTATATGTTTCGAAAGTTTACGCTTATTTCTTTGGTAATGTACAATAGAATATCTCAACATTTTAATAAAGTTCTGTTTGTTAAATTTTCATAATGAAATAATTGGGTTTTAACACTCATAAAAAATAAATCGATCGTTAAATAGATTATGTATTACAAACCCTATTATAAACTTCCAAAATTACCATCCTATATTGGACACAGCATACTTATTTGGTGCATACTTAATAATATTAATTAAAATGTCAACTTTCACATCTCCATATCACTGGTAAAATTACCTCGTCATACGAAGTGGTTTGCACAATTTTCTCACAAGATAGTTCTCTTATCGGATTTTAAACAATGCGACACACCAGTAGTGAATGGTTGCGGATTATTATCTGAACGTACTTTCTTCCGTTTCGGATTTAAATTTTAATCTAAAGTCTGATACTATGTTCCAGCGATTATAATTATTTTATCGCAAAATTAATGGAAAACGCACAGCAACGAGAATCTCAGGATAATAAACATCCACTAAAGGTCTATAAAACTTGAAATTGTTTCATACAATAGATTTACTGTCGATGTCTGCAGTTTATTGTTAATTGAGGTTGTACATCTGCATCAATCCTCACCCTACCATTTAGAGTCTTAAAAGTGCAATAATTCGTAACGAATAAATAACTTTACAATGCCAAACTGGGCCAAGATAATGCATCGTGGGAGTCAAAATGCAAACATAACGAAGAGCTCAAAATCTAAATAGAGCGTGCAGAAATGATCAAAGTTTGAATATTGTACGGTTTGCGGTGACGCCGCGGCCGCTACATTTTTGTCAATTTTAGGTGACAGACGTGTTCCGACGTTGATGCGAAAACTTAACGCTTATGATTGGATAGCGGTAACACACCAAAGAAATAAAAGTTTAACATAATTTGTTATAGTATTATTCAAAAGAAAATCTGGCAATCAAGTTGTCAGACAATATAAACGTTTTTGCGAAAGGCATATTTATGATCTTAAACTTTTGCTTTCGCGTACGTATTTGAGATTTGAGATATACGTAGGGGCATAAACATAAGGCTTTTCAAACTTTCACGCATATGCAATGCCCGTGTGCAATTTGCAGCGCGACCCTATGAAATGAACCGGGTGAACGGTGGTGTGGCTGTCGATGCGCCGGCGCAGTCCCGCTCCGATCGTCGCCGCGGCCGCACGCACGCCGCGTCATGCCTCGCCTATCGTACGTACTTCTCGCGCTCGTCGCACTCACCACAGCCTCCGAACCGCAGAGGCCGCGACTCATAGACTTCAACCCCTGGTCATGGATTCCCAACGACCGAAACAAATCTCCATCGATCATGGACTACTTCTTTCCCCCGTCTAGAACCCCAAAACAATCCAACTTAGACCCCCCGGCGGACAGACAACCCCCGACATTACAAACCACCTTAGAAGACGATGCAACTATGACCACACTTAACGAACGTTTCACCACCACGGGTAGAAAATCTCACAACAAAATTAAAACCACTATTCCAGCCCCTCGCCCGACGGCTACTGTTCCTCCAAAGACCAAAAAGACCTCTCACAAAACCGTTCCTACCGAAACAACTGTTGAGACAAAGATCACTCAGACTATCAAAAATGAGCCGCCCACAACCGTGAAAGCGACAGTCCGTCCAACAAAGCATTACTCCATACGTCCAGTGCGCACTACAGAAACACCAACCGTACAGGAAACTGCCTCTACCATTAACATGAACGGCGATAGCACTGAAACTATTGCCGTCGAAACACTAGGAACAACCAAAGAGATCGTGAAAGAGACCATTGTGCCAACTCTGAGTACAGATCAGCATCCAACAGACGGATCTTCGACGGTGACTATGGACAGCACGACGTTGACAGAGAGTACTACGGAAGCGGCGGATAGCCGCGAAGGATACCTTCCATTGCGAGACAAGCCTCAGCAGACGCACGTGAAAATCAACGACCAGACTAAGAAAGAGGTCAGTAAAATAGATTTTTAAGCTATTATCATCAATTGTAGAGCTAAGTAACATTTATAAACAGACCGCACGAACAACGTTTAAATACTCAATTAAATCGTTATGGTTCAAGTATGTGAACAATCGGTTTTTGTTGGCAAGCAAGGGTTGATTATCGTGACTGTTGTAGCACGACTCTTCCCAACTTGACGCGCTTCAAATATCCAAACTATTTCCTTCGCTTAGTTTCAAGTGATCCGTAAAGAGGTCAAACAATAATTACTTGGAAAGGGTGCGCGATTCAAGTTGCTATAGGTGTAATTTTTGTAATTACTTATTAAAATATACTTTCTTTTTATAATCTATGTTGTACAATATAAACAATAACGTGTTAAAACTAAATTCACTTAAACGAGAGCATAAAGATTGCGTGCTTTCATTTGCATTTTCACATGTCTAAGAACAGTAGTTGCAATTGTCCGGAAGCGAGAAAAAATCTCACTGAATTCTCAGATAAATATTCATAATTGGCGAAGAAAAGTTTTACATTTACACATATCTTTATAAAACGGTGGCTAACAATAGAGACCATTAGTTCATTTTTTATAAAAGCAAAGTAATTACCAGTTAAAATCATCGTTCAATCGTTAAGCTCATTTGCAGGCGAACGATGAACAAAAACTGAAGTTTACAATAACGTTTTTGTTGTGATAGAAAGAAGGAACAATAATGATAGATTACAATTTTCGTAATTTTGTACGTATAACGTTAAATGCAAAAACTTACTGTCTCTATCATAGGTTAACTTTTAACTTGAAATTTCTATTCTACCTGAACAATAGCTACGTGTTTATTGCCAGTCATAGATACTGTTCTATACTGTGAACATACTGTTCTAACTTATTATAATATAAGTTATTTAAGATATAAAAACAACGTCCGATTTGCAACGCCTCATAAAATATTAATGAATGTGAATGTTAACATAGGTAAATATTTGAGAAATTAGCTACATCGCATATATTACCGAACGTTCAAGAGAATATTACCTAACAATAAAAAAGGTAACAAAAGGTCAAAAAGCAAGAAAAAGTCAAGCGAAGCGTCGCAGCCTCAACTTTCATCTCATTAAGCCACATCGCGGAACACCAACTTAGGACAGAGAATTTCCTTCTGAACAATATTCTTTTTACTTTCACTATTATGAGGCGGACAATCATATTAGGCTTTTCTAAAGACCAATCACATTATGTATATCGCTCAGTCACTAATCGCTTTTCAAATATCATCGCAATAATGGCGTTTCTCTACATTTTAAATGCTTTTTGAATTGGTGTAGTGGTAGCAAGGTATGACTCATAATAAACGCCGGTTCGATCTTCACTGGGCCAAATCAATTTATAATTTTTCTTAAACATGTTGGACATTGTCTGGAAATTTAGATATTAAATGGGTGGTAGGAACAACAAAATTGCGCCCGGACCACCGTTCACAGATAAAAATCCGTTAAGTTTAATCGCGTTTCGGTTTCAGTCTGTGGCTTTTGGAATATCCAAAACCAAAAAAGGTCGACAGCGCATCTTGATTTGATGTTATACGACTGGCATTTTACTTACCATCAAGAGAACGAACCTTGTTTGTCCTCGTCTATCATAAAAAAATATAAGAATTTATATAATGTGTTCATTTATATCGCAGAACATTTCTAAGTGCAATGAATTATATGAACCCTGGTGTTACATATGTAAGGTTCATTTATATCCTAAGTTGAAACTCATTACATTGTGTCTTTAACTCTTATTACAAGAAACTAGTCATCATATACATATTTTAGGATTGCATCTGTCCTATTATTGTTTATTTATTACTACTGGCGGCAAACCTGTTTCATATTTATAACTATTGTAGAATAATAGCAGTGAAATTTTCAAGCAATTGTTTGGATTACTCTCTACAATTTAATAATTATCACAGTATAAGCATTTTTCACTGCCGGAACTTGAGGGTATAAAGGTCTTCATATAATACGGTCAAATTTTGTGTTAGTCTCACGTCAAAGTTTTGATTCTATGACATGAATATATTTTGGCCCACAAAGGAGGATACAATTCTTGACCTAACGAATCTAAGTCAGCCGCTCCTCCTAGACCAAATTGCACTTTTACGAATTATAATAATGTGATGATACAGATGCGACCAAGTATAAGAAGCTTTTGTTACAAAGAAAGTAGCGTTTACATTTATTATTCGTTAATTTAAAACATATCTGAATGATCTAGGAATTCGAATCAATACAAATCGTGTCTAATTAATCAGCACGCATTACGGATAGAAAGTGGATAGCCGTATTTATATTACGGATTCCAAGAGAAAGGGTATACTTAGTACTTTAGGTACGAAAGCAAATAACTAGGTTGCTAACAGCAGAGGAAAGTGTTTATGTCAGACGAAAATGTATTGCCAAGAAGCACTTTCTATAGAAATCAAATGATATAATTTATTATCGATTAAACGATGTTAATACAAAGGCCTACTAGACTGAGCTGCATGTTTTTGAATGTAATTTTTACAAATTTAGTAAATTTAAATAAAACACTTTAACGGTTTAAAACGCGATATATAAGTTATTATTATTATTAAGTTTAATAAAATCTAGAAAAATCTATAGATAGTATATTCCAAATAAAAAAATCTCCTAGTGGTTCAACGCTATTACTCAATAGTATTGTGTCTAATGAAATTAGCACTTTGTGACATTATCTAAATCAATTACGACTCGATCCGACTTTCATTCACGCTTTTTTAAATTATATTAACGTATTGCACAACGCTAATCGAAACGAGATCGTTTCATTCACTTATCTCGAAGTGAATTAACGCTCACTTCTTGCAAATAAAGAGTTTTTGATCATTTATGTTTAATCTTGCTGATGAAAAGGAAAGCTATCAGCGAGATTAAGATTGGAGATTGTTTCAACGATTGTCTGATCGCAAGGGCTTGTTATTATTCAAACGATAAAGGGTAATATGAAAAGTCTGAAATTTTGACTGAAAATTCATTCTTTCGTTAATTAAAACGTTCTTCAAACAAAATAATGGACAGATTAACGGTTTAATTTAAGACGCGAAATTTAACTAAGACTCGATTTTTCCAATGATGGAATAATTTTAAGGAAGAATATACATCGTCATATCATTGTTTTTCGGGCTGTTCGGCCGACGTGGGCGAGGAGAGGTTCTCGACGCTTCGTCATCACAAGCGGACCGCATCATCATAAGATGTTTCGAGTAATCGAAGAGCTAAACCTCGATTACTCGAAAAATAATTTTTCGACCGTCGAGTACCTCATCTGGCTCATCTCTGCCGAACAGCCCGATCAATGATATCCTGAACGATGGCCGTGAATGCATTACACAATAAAATAAAACACTTTAACAGTTTAAAACGTTATATATTTGTTGAAACATTAGACTGAGACAGTCTCCCCGTGACCACGGCTGCTGCAAAGCATACGAAAAACCGGGCCGAAATTAAAAATCATTTTCAAATAAGTTTAACTAATATATATCGCGTTTTAAACCGTTAACATGTTTTAAATAATGTGTTCCGCTCGCGGAAACCACAGACAATACTGAGTAAATTCCTTATGATCCTCTAAGATAAATAAAGTAGACGCGAGCAACTTTAACAAATTGATATCAATTATGTCGTGTGCGTGGCGATTTCGCGACAGCTCGCAAAAGTTACGGTTCAACTCTACGTGCTTTTATAGTGGGTCGCAATATGTGTGTCTATGGAACAGGACAAAATATGCAATCATAACCTGATTTACATTTACCGTGTCATTAAGAGACGGTCACGTGTCGCGATATCGATCTAATTATGAATAAATTAGTATTAACGTAGAATAAACAGTAAGATTAAACGTCTTACTTACCATGTAAATTATATTTATTACTTGGATTTTCTGATTTCAAAGATAATCCAATTCTTCAATTTGAATTAATACGAGACCATCTCACATCAATACTACACATAAAGACAAGGCTTTACTCTGAATTAATGAAGTAGCCATAATACTCGATTTCACTGATTAATTTGTATCCTAATCTATTTTTGATTTGTTCAAAACCTTTGCTTTATATTTAGAAGAATATTATTGTATTTTTAGAATTAGATTTTAAGGTTCAAGTTACGCCATATTCACATGCACACAAAACTGTAAATAAAAAATTGTTTAGTATCTCGAAAAAAAAAAAACCACCCTCGTCCCCCGTCGTCGGTTTAGACGATCTAAACAAATCTTCAGCAACAATTTACACATTACTTATTGCTACCATTAATAATAGCATATGAAAGCACGTAGAAATGACAGACAGGTTTCGTGTCGAGTCGTAATTTGTGCATCCGCTCGTGCGACGACCGACTTTGACTTCTCAATTATTCGTTCAAGGCCATCTGTTATTGCATAATTACATAGATATTGATATATATAAGCGCTATTTGAGTGACCTTAAATCTTTTTAACGTCTACAGATAATGGACATGCGCTCCTAAGTAAGAAGAAATCTATACTAATATATAAAGCTGAAGAGTTTGTTTGTTTATATGTTCGAACGCGCTCATTTTAGGAGTTACGGATTCGAATTAAAAAAATATTTTTGTGTTGGTTAGAGCAATTATCCAGAATTGCCTATGCTATAAAACACAGCCCTGTGACTAATACAAGCGAATATACAGTGACAAATGTGAAAAAAAAAATGGAATATTCATCATTATGTGTTTCCGAGGCGTACACTGCAAAAATGGTTCAAGATACCCAAAAAATATGTATGAAAGAATAATTCCTCTTTGAATGATCTAAAAATGTCATGACATTAGGTATATGCCTATTTTTATGCTTACGCGGACGAAGTAGCTAACACGGCTAGTAAGGATGTAAAAATGTTCCTTTTTATAAACATGCCTTCTTGAGCTTATATCCATTTGACGGCACTTAGGTTCCCTCGTCACCCTGGACGTGATGCATTGGTAAAAAATC